CTAAGCCCTTTGTTACTGTGACTTTGTCACAGTTCACGAGTACAGTGAATGGGCCATCATGTGATCACAATTAACAGACAGTGGTTTGTATGTCTGAGCTCCAGACACTGCCAGATTTCATAAACAACTCAGGAAAAAACAGGAAACTACGATACATACTGTACAGTACGGATGACTGCATGCAGAGAAAGGGGAACCATCTCTAAGTATAGACCAGCATTCAGGCCAAACAAGTCCACATGGTTATTAAAATGATACACAGGAAGAACGTTGAATAATTTTGTCATTTAATTTCTATTTTCCAGACACATTAAATTAGGATTTAAATCCCTAAATAAATGTACGTGTACATGTGTAACAATCTGTTGCTGCACTTGCTAGATCAACAGCTTCTGGGTTGCATTAAACACTGGATAGTAGTGGGCTTGCAGTGGTTAACGGGCTGATGAAGAGGAGGGGGGAGTGAAAAAGAATTCCAGCTACTCCGAGCCTGAGGCCTCACTCCATTCAGCCTGACAGAAGGAGTCCGATTCCGGCAAACACGGCAGAGCAAAGACAGCGATGGAGGATGAATGCCAATAAGAAGTGACTCATGCACACAAGTGCACAAGCACAGATATTGACACAGACATTACACCAGTGTAAACTTGTAAATGTGTAAAATTTCAGAAATTCAATTCAAGCTACAAATGCTGACATTTGTACAATGTGAGCTATGTGCTCTACGTGCCATAAGACCGCAGATGTTCTTAATAAACTACATTCATATACTTCACAAATAATAATCAAAACAGTTATAGACATCATACCTGGATACCGGTCTGTGGCATAGGACAGTAGAAATCCTCGTCCAGAGCGGTGTGGGCCTGACTTGAAGGTTACTGTTACTTCATTGCTTTTAATTGTCATATTCTTCTGTGAAGCATCAAGCTTCCCACACACTGGGCCTGTGAACACGCAGACCCACAAACTGCACTTGTAAAAGCCCATAAACACAAATACATGTTGCTTTCCGAAACATAATGCATATAAACAGCAAATTACATTCTTGATCAATGGGGTACTGTCTGTTCCTTACTGAGCCAACAGCTGTAGATGATTTTAAGTCAGTCTAACCCAACTAGTGCTGTCATGTTTGTATCCCATAGCTACACCTGCATAGCAAAGAGCACGGCTGTGTAGTCACATGGAAAATCTGCATGTAAGGACACCTCCCCAGCAGAGCCAACAAAATAAAAATCATGAGCCAGGCAGGACCTGTGGAATCCGATCATAAACACAAAAGGCAGCCTAACAGGATCTTTCTATCACCTGAATATCTCAACTCTTAATTTGGTGTATTGTCATTGTTTATGCCCTCGAGGCATGACTTTATACACCTGTTTGGAAGATGTGTCTGTTGCGAAATTGGGTTTCCTTCTTCTGCTGATGTATCAAAGGAAAGGCATGTCCTGTGTGAATTCCACAATCATGACTGGGAAAACGTCAGTAATGACACGGAACATAAAAAGCAGGTATTTCAGAGAAGAACTGACTCAGGAGACATGAGAGCACTTCTGTAATGTCCCAGACACAGTGATCAGACATCAACCTGGGATGCATTTAAAAGACACACTGTATTCCAGCAGCGACGAACAATCTTACCGAGGCTGGTGTCTCCGTTCTTGTAGGTGATCACAAGAGAGCCATTGCTGCAGTCTGGACTGCTCTCAATGTCAAAATCCCCAAACAGCAGCCGCAGCGTGCGCCCCTCTGGCACACGAAGCCTCCACTTACACCAGGTGTTACTGGGGTAGGTGCCTGGATAGCTCTGAGAGGCCAGCGTGCCGGACTCTGTGCCCAGCACTGTATGTCCACAGCCATTACCTGAAATAAAGACGAGAGTTTCCCAAGTTAAATCCAACATCAGGACAAGTTAAGGGACAGTTTCATTCCAAAATTAGATGCGGACCACTTGCTGATTAAGAGGAGCTTTAAAAAAAACAACTGCGGGAACAAAAGTAAAGAGTCACTCTTCGTGTTTTATGTCACTTAATAACTTTTTCATGAAAAAGGTGTCTTCATGAGGATTGAACCATTTTCAGTTTTACAGCGCTGGCTGAAAATCTGAGTAGCAAAAGGTAAAAGTTAATAGGGTTTTAAAATCAAATCAAATATGTACTAGACTAAAATGTAATACTTGTTCAGTTTTGAAGACAAAATTATTATACAGTGGGCTAACAAGGGCTTAAAAGTTATTTTCATTATGGATTCATCTTGCCAATTGTTTTCTCAATTAACCATTTGGTTCGTCAAAATGTAAGAATATAGTGAAAAATGGCAAGCTGGCATATTCACATCTTCTTTTGTCTGGCCAGTAATCCCAAATCCAAAAAGGTGTTCAGCTGAATATTATGAAAGACTAAAGAAACCACCATTTGCATTTAGCAAGCTGGAAGAAGCGAATTATTGGCATAATTTTGTTTACTAGCATGACTATAAGAAAATAAAAAATTAACCGATTGTCAAAATTTTTTTCCATTAACCAACCTGTTGATCGTCTAATTTGTTAATTGTCTGTTGTTCAATGTCCTGTCAATCCTGTTTACAGACCACTAACTAACAGGAAATGTTTATTTCTTGCACAGCTGGTGGATATCAAAGCATAACTGATATGTTTCACTTCTAAAAACATCTGTGCCAAGAGTTATCAGCTGAGCACCTCAAGCTTAAATGAAGCCAAAATCACATAACCGCAGACAGATTCGTCATTAATTCCATACACACAATATTAAGGGCTTTGTAAGTGCACTATTTAAGGATAGATGAGTAATAAAATCTCTTCTGAACATGCACAGCAGACCAGGGCATGTTTATACTTTTCTGATCACAACTTTGAGATGACACAACTGCCGACGAGGGAAGTTCTCCAAAGACCTGTACACTGGATTGCAAAAAATACTCTTCATAGATTAAACACAAAATATGTACTTTTTTACTGTATATACTGCTGTTGTTGACAGAAAAGGCAATACATTCTAGTTTTTTTTTTATCCATTACTATGAACATTACTTTCTCAACTGTTGATTCATTACATCCTCTGACCTGCGGTTTCTGTGACTAACACTTTGACTGGAACAGGCAACACAAATATTTAGATCCTCTAACATCCCCGTGGGTCCCACAAAATAAATGAGTCAATTCCAACAGTGGTCACACAGAGATAAGTGCTGCGGGGGCGGCAGGCTCAAAACATACAACCCAAAATGTCAAAGGTTCCAAGAATGGTCAAAACTTGGAAAAAGGCAAAAGGGTCCATCTAAGCCTACACATCATCCCTGTCCTTGTCTTCCATATAAGGCTCCTGGAGATCTGTTGAGGAGAAACGGGAGGATAACCTTCCACTCACCCCATGTCACACCAGACGTTTCCCTACTTCCTGACAGCTCTTCAGCTCCTAATACCATAAACCATTGGATGTTATTGCCCTCCTCAAGTCCCCAAAGGATTCCCTGGAAATGCCACAGCGACATACTGTATCCGTGGGCAGCAGAGCGTGGATCTATCACCTTCCTGTGGGAGGCCACAGAGGCTGAAATGTTGGGGAAGTTCTGGGTGGCCAGTAATCTTCCCCTGCTCACTGAACCCTTTCACCTACAGTCTGTCTCCGGGCCTGTCCGGTTCTAGTTTCATACAGCAAAGGGATACGTGTTCAGCCTGTTCTGACCAGTTTAGAAATTTCAAAAGGTGAATTAAAGAAAACTGGAGTCTAACTGGGTAGCAAGATAACAGACAGTCAATCAAAAGAATCACAGCAACATTGTTTTCCACTTGAGGCTTTGCTGTCAGGCCCTTACAGGTCCTCACTAGCCGACAGGATGCTCACCAGTGCTTCCTTTCACTACATTGCCTTATCCGGTCTTAAGTGTCAATCACAACTTTACAACACCAAGGCGGCAATTTTTCCCCCCATACCCAGGCCGCCACCAAAGCTCGGTAAGACTAGGTAAACATGCACAAGGGAAGAGTATGTAAAGAATGCTACCATGACATCACATGGTGGACCTCTGCGCCTACTTCAACTGCAAATACAGTATTTTGCCATTGACCTAAACACATTCATTATTATTATTATTATTATTATTATCATCATCAAGTATTATTATAATTGACAGCAGAACATATCAAAACGGCATGCATAACAGAGAATAGGCCTAGTTCATGGTGAAATCAGTAACGGTAAATAGTTGGTGAACGACAGCAACATATGGTTGATAACGATTAACTTAACGTAACGTTAGCTTAGGTAGAGTGCAAAGGATGTTTCAAAGCCTGTTGGTCATTGGTGCTTGTCGTACGTCTGCCAGTGCTTTTAAATCATGCCACTAAACAACAACATACCACTTAAGTATTAAGTAAAATTAACTAGCAATTCATCTGCTTTAGCTGCTCGCGAGCAGGTAACGTAACGTTTAGTAGAAGAAATAGCAGCAAATATGTTCGTCACGTTCGTTATCTTATCAAAAGGCTGTTGTATTTCTTACCCTCCTGGCTGCGAACACCTACGGAACAGATGCTAAAAGTGATCCAGAAACCGGTAACAAGAGACTTCACAGCATCTCGGATGTTTTCGCACTTTGCAAGCATGATTTCCCGAGCTCAGCATTAAAAGGTAAAGCGCAAGCCCCGACAACGGCCGAGCTGCTGGTTCATTAAAAAGTTACAGTACAAAGTACTGAATATTTACTATTGGCCACGGGGCGTAAACTCGACTTCCATTGGTTCACCGCGAGTGTCAATCAAATGATCTCACGCGTTCCATTCCCAAATAGGGGTGGGTTGACTAGTAGGTGTGTGCCAGAGCTCTTTAAAGTGCCCTGGTGTGTGCTGATCTGAGACCAGCCGCTGGCAGTAAAACTACTGACTTGGACTTAATCTGTGATGTACTTTCGTCTGCTAAAATAGCAACACTGGACATGGATCTTAGATTACGTTATCCTGTTCTATGTTACGTTATGTTATTCTATAGAGGCTATTTTATAAACTCAAAAGGGCAAAATGTAAAATAATGCGTTTAAAAGTCAAAATGGTTAAGACCAACATCTTGAAATATCTTGTCTGTGTTACAATTTATCGACACACCTAGCTCAAACTAAGTTCAAACCCTGCCACCTTCTGGTGACATACAGGCAACAACAAGCCACCGTTTTGAGGAGCGTTTTCATGACAACACGACCATACTGAGGCTACACAAGTGAAAACTGAAGCAATGTATTGTTCTGGAGTCTGAAACCTATCACGAGGGAACCGTCCATTATAAAAACATTTTCAGTGCTTCCTTTGGGGTGGAAAACATGTTCCTGAAGCCTGAAAACTTTCAGCAAATGCAATGCCATGGCTCAGAGCCGCTCAAACCGAGCCGTGCACTCGCACATAAGAGCAGTTTGACCGATTTACACATCGCGTGCGAACTAACTGCTTCTCGTGACAGCGGGACAGATGCTTCTCACTGCAGGAAGCAGCACGGCGCATGCTCTTGTGCCTCTCCGACAAGCGAAGGATGAATTATCCCCTGCTGTAAAACGGTAAGTAAAACTATGTCAATATTCTTTAAAGTAGCAGGCTGTGTCTTTTAGAGCTTTAATATAGACCCAGTGTTTTTTGCGCACCCTCTGTGGAACAGGAGCGCGCGCAGTCGCACAGTTTTTGGCCGGGGTGTGCGTGCTGCCGCACCAACAGACGTCAGTTTGAGTGGGTGAAGGAGGGCGAAAGGCACGCAACTGTCCGTGTTGGAGTTGGTGAATTCAGCAAGGGCTACTTCATATAGTGTGGAATTTGTTGATCACTTTATTGTAGTCTGCTCTTCACTACATGGAAAGGTAGCCTGTTTTGTCTCTCTGCCGTGGATTTATCCAAACACACAGTTTGTAAATTCATTTCTCCATTTCTCTGTGTTTTTTTCGACCGGTACGCCTCAGCTGCTGCGTGTGTAGGACTGAAGGAATATGATGGACAGAATCATACTAAAATGAATGCAGTGTCAACTTATTAGTTATTATCCTTTAACTGTTACCCAGGAGGGAATTAACATTTCTTGTTTTTCCAATTCCTATTGCTCATTGATAATAGTCCAGTGGACAGTTTATTTACATTTGACCCAATTAAAAGGTGTCTATATGCTATAAATTATATTATACCTATATTTCCAGTAATTAAGGACATGCATTCACTTTATAATTCATAATTTTAAATCGAACCCTCACAGTGAATGTGATATACTACGTTCTCAACATTATGACAGCACACAAAAAGAAATAACTGTCTCTGGAGACTGATATCAACACTTCCACAGATTACATTTGCTCAACAGATCTTTTATTTGAATCATATATGTGGCAAAAGTATTTCCTAAATGCAAAAAGGTTGCGTAACACAGTACTGATTTGATTTGAGAATTTCTCTCTAAATAGACATAAAAACAGAATGACAGAACATTGCACCTGTTTAGCCCACTGTATTTATTATATACCATTTTTACAATTCAGGGCTTATAATCCAGGTTTTAGTTAAAACTTTAATCTTTTGTCCCATCATCTAGGATATGTGTGTTCTCAAGAGCAATGTAGGAAGCAAGGCCTGTTCGTGTGAGGATTATGTCATTTTAAGCCCACTGTGGATTCATTTTTACAACAGTTGCATGCCAGAAAAGGCCGATGTGGTGGATCTAATTGACTTGTGTGTGCAATTTAAATAGCATCACTGCCTGCTTATGTGTGATCTGGATGTTAACATGCATGCTCGGCTCTCTCTACGTGCAGCTCTGTGGGGAGGGGTGATGGCGGGTGCTGAGGTCACTGTGTCTTCAGGGGATCTCATGGCGTTGAAGGAAGAGGAAGGGGAGTCCAGTGGCAGTAACCATAAGACTCAAGTCATCCTGCACCTGCAGCCCATCTTGCATGGGTAACATGGCTTATATCATTAAAGGGCCATTAAATGGCTTGCATTTGCTGTGTGACAAAAAAGAGAGGCAAATGTAAATGTACAGACAGATTTGGGTAAATGTAGACAGATTTTTTGCATGTTAATAAGAAATAGGCTTCTTTCTTATATTAAGCTAATATTACGACATCATTCTACATAAATGGTGTTCATATCCAGTTTAATGCAGGCTTAAGCCAAAGAAAACATCAGTAAGCTATGTGGAGAAAAGAAGGTTAGACGTGCTGTGGCTATTCGCATATTATACTGTGAAATTAAACTGTGAAAACTATTCAACTCTGTCATTCAGCTGGCATGCAACAATTATTCTGTTAAATGAATCTGTCGGCCTCTGCAGGGTAAATGGTGACATTGCTGACACTGGCACTACAGTCTTGGCCATTGAAACACATCATGGTATGTGAAATGGACATTTCCCTCCCTGCTGACATTAATCTACTCAGACACACAAAGACATATAAAATCAAAAATGTATTATATACATTACATTGAGTGTATTATGTGCACTAATGAATCTCTCACAGTGTATTTCAAGCTGTACTATTATTTAACAAATATGAATTATTTAAGAATATTGATAAACCTCCCGTGGTGCGAGGATGGACTTTTGATTTTGTTGTCAGATGATTCTTTTGTTATGTTTATTAGCACCCAGGCAGGTATTATTGTTAATACAGTGTACTTAATTAAACTTTGATTAATAAACCTTATTGTTTTGCTGTTGAGTGTATCATACAATTCCACACTGTAGTGTTTATGTTTTTGGCTTGTAATCTTTAGAAGACAGTGAAGCAGAAGGAGAGGAGATCGAGTACGGCTACCCCATCACCTGTGGAGACAGCAGAGCCGTTCTACTGTTTAAGAAGTTTGTGTGCCCTGGAATCAACATTAGATGTGTCAAAGTAAGTTGATTTTTTTAGTGTGATTAAAATGTGGTGAATTATTACTTTATCAGTACTATAGAATCACTTAGTAAAACCTTCCTCACTCAACCAGACGTGATTGTGTTCACATCTTGTGTGTTGTATCTGTTTTAGTCTTCTGTCCACATACTTGGCTTTCATAAACGCATATATTGTGTTGTCTTCTTCTCTTACAGTTCAATGACCAGCTCATCAGCCCAAAGCAGTTTGTACACCTGGCAGGGAAAGCCACTCTGAAGGACTGGAAAAGGGCCATCAGACTGGGAGGGGTAATGCTCAGGTACACTTAGTTAGAAAGTAAAGAAAAATAATTTTCTTCCTCATAGCTGCTTGGGAGACACACACATGCTAACTGTAAATCTGAATGGTTTTTAAGGGAGTCTTTCACATTACTTTGTTGCATTGAGGTTAAAGTGTCAGACCTTAAACACCTCTATCTAATGCAATCAGCAGTATATTTGATTCACATAATTTGCACTTGTGTGAAGTCTGTCTGTGTTGGGGTTTGCCAGTACATTCCAGAGGTAGTCGGTAAGCGGCATTATTATGATAACAGGATCAAATAACACGCAAGCAAGCTGCTGAGTGATCCCTCTTACCCCTTTATCGTGTTTGCACTTGTTCTTGGTGTTACAGTGAGTCAATATACCAACTCAATAGGCAATATCTGCTCTTTTTATCTGTATTCCTCTAGAGGTCAGATCAATGGGCTTTGTGTCAGACAAACCTTTGGGAAGCTATCGGGATTGTTCAACAAATTCAATTCATTCTTTAACACCCTTCTGCAGCTGATGTTTCCTTGGACACTCTGGAGTGCTCTTTTAAATCTGCTTCTCCCAATGCAGGAAAATGATGGACTCTGGCCAGATAGATTTCTACCAGCATGAGACCGTGTGCAGCAACACCTGCCGCAGCACTAAATTCGACGTGCTGATCAACAGCACGCGGCTTCCTCCAGGGACCTTAGTGCAGCCAAGCCCGTCGTGTCTGGCTTTCGACCCTCTTGGAGGACAGGTGCCTCCCCTGGCAGGTAGATTTCAGTTGGCATGTTGTGATGTTTTTTCTCCCACATATGGTTAGGGCTGCTGTTTTATTTTATCATATCATTGAGATAATGCAGATAAAAACCAGGACATGATTTATCTGGAATAATGAAACAATAATAGTCATTTCTGACACACGCTGTTGGAGCTCAAGGACCGGAGGGAATTAGGAAATGAGCTGAACATCACATACCTTCAATAATGCACCAGTTTCCTCACTGGTTACTCAGTGAGGAAACTGGTGCATAGAAAACCATAGAAAACCCTAACCCCTAACTCTAACACCCTGGTGGAAAAAAACTTTTGGATTTATTTGTCTCCCTCTGCCTACTCACATTCAATGGTAATATGAGATGTTTATGCGCTATTTACAGTATATCCCTTTTTGTTTTAATTTCAGGAGTGGTTTTACATGATGCAGCAGAGGTTGAGGAGCCTTTGGAGGAGAAGTTCAACACAACAGCAGAGAGGAGCCCTGGTCTAGCCTGGCCTGTAAATCCCACAACAGCCAATGGGCATGCTGCAAAGAGAAAGAGGGCTGACACTCCTGGTAAATACAAGACACATTTTTATTAGTTTTGGGTTATGTAAGACAGAACAGGATAAAGAAGCATTGGTACGAAGAAAAAGGCTCAGAAATGGGTTGAGCGAGACAAATATATGGACTGAAATCAGAATCAGAATCACAAGGAGCTTTATTGCCAAGTAGTGTTTTACACGTACAAGGAATTTGCTTTGGCGACACGTCTGCACATAGACAAACATACAGCTGACATAAATAAATGTAGAAATATATAAATATGGAATAGACAAATGCAAGTTATACAAGAATAATAAAAGAATAGAGAAAAATAATACAACTATTTGCAGAGAAAGAACAATGTAACAATTAACTTTTTTTAGGACACTTTTTTAAAAAACAAGAAAATAAGAACCCCCTCTATACTTAGCCTTATTTAGCACTTATCCTGAAATATAGGTTGCAAACTTTTATCATCTACTAGAAATGTGTATTTTCTCACAGAAACAGCAATAGTGGGCCTGCGCTTGCACAATATCCTCCACAGCAAGAAACTATTAGGAATATGGTCTGTAATCCAGTGGTATAAGGCAGTTTTGTATTGGCACGTGGAAGTCTCATGTCTCCCCACCAAATCTCTATAAAGTGATAGGTTAAAACCTCCACTGCAAACTCATGGAATCATGGAAGTTGCATTTACTTCTGGTTTTAACTACTTTGTCAGCTCACCAAGGGCAATGTCCTGGAGGATGAAACCCATTTGGAAAGTGTATTAAGATACCTTTTTTTATTTTGTGAGGAGGCACAGATTCAGCCCACTGACCTTCAGTCCTCCAGAGGCCACACATTCTAAGACATCTCCTTTAAAGGAGGCGTTCCTTTTGCAACACTGTATCACTGAAGGATAAAAATATTACCTGATGAGGAAAAGCAATGCAAGATTTAGACTTAAATTTCAACAGTCATTGTAGCTATTCTTAATAAAAAATCAACAGAAAAACAATGACAGCTGTGAATATTAACATCCGTCTACTTGCAGTCAGTCAGTCCCTTGTGTCATGCCTCTTGCAGCCTCTGCTGCTTGACACCTCTGATACACTGAGCCAATGAACCTCTGAATTTTGCAGACTGGCCTTAAAAAGTTGCTGACCACTGTTAGGCAGAGAGTCACATCCTTTTACATTATCATCGACGGCATCTGACATTTGTAAGTGTGGCTTTTTCTTGTGGGGACCTACGATTAGTTTTTTTTTTTAAAGGTGACCTTATGAGGTATTGTTCCAGCTGGACCACAGTCGGTAACTTAGCCTCAAGCGATCTTTTGTGTGAATGACAAATTGCAGTGCCTTACTGCACAAGCGGTGTTTCCTTGTCGCAGGGCTTAAAACTAATTGGCAACTATCAGTAAATGTACTCGGCCAAGAGCTACGCTCCTCTATCTTCAAATGTGTGTCTTTCCATTAGTGTATATTCCCGACATGAAGAAATACATGAATTTAGCTTCAGATAGCTGTAAATGAGTTTTAGAATATTTTTGGTGGGCATATTACATTTATCTTGCCAGACATTTAAGCAAACATGAAAGTAGACGCATATCACTCTAATATACTCAACCTCTGCTTTGCTCAATTTTGTATAGATCCCAAGTGATTTTTCAGTCTCCCCCCAATCTGCCCTGTCCTGCTTTCTCTCCTCACAGAGCGCCTCTTTTCCAACCCATTTTCCTACTCTTTCCTCTCTACCTCTATCACCCATTTAACATCCGCTCTCCAAGTGCTGCACCTCTCCCATTTCCTCTATCTCGTTAAATCTTTTTTTTCATTGTTTCTCCAGCCCTGACACTTCTTCCTGCATTTCCCTCCTCAATTTATTACTCTCTTTCAGTCCTTTAACTCTCCTCAAATCTCACTTCCAGACATTTCCCTGCCTCCATACTCCATCTCATTTATCCCACATTTCTTATTTATTTTGTTTTGCCTTTTCTTCCCATTGGGTGCAATATCTTTTTCTCACACATACACAAATCCCTTCTCGTGCCTATTTCTCTGTGGCACATTTTTAAATGGAAAGATAAACAAGCACACATACACAGAGTCCCCCATATATCTTAATAATGTCCCATCTAATTGACCTTTTCTAGATGGAGTATTGAGCCTGTGGAAGGGTGTGGCAGACTCAGGGCTGATGGGGGATGTCCTGTCCAGTCTCCAGACTGAATTAATAGCCACTCTTAAAGGAGTGGAGGTTCGCAGCAAGAGGGCTAACCTGCAGGAGACAGGTGAGTTCCCACAGTGGGACCTGACTAACCGCTGGACTGTGAAAATAATTGCTTTAAATGTAGTAAAATGTCAGTTAGGTTAAAAAAATGTAATGTAAATGTAATTTTAAAAATGGTTCCACCAGCTAAATCTGGTTTGAGAAGGATATCAATGGACATTGATTTAAAAAAAGTGATTTGATGTGGACAACCTTGACTTTTGATTATTTTGTTTTGCCAGATGCCGTCATTCTTAATTCCCTGTGTAAGATGTTTGGGCTTTTAGACTCAGTGAAGCAAGCTCTGGACCTGAGGCGGAGCCAGGGTGAAGAGAACAAAACCCATAACAATGGTTTTGGTGAGAGAGCTGTTGAAGACAACACACAGTATATAGAGTGAAATCCTAGTCAATTGTACAAACTAATATCCTGTTTTTTATTAGTGTTGGATGAGATCTTGGAGGACCGGAGCAAGCAGGGTTGTAATAGAAGCACCTCTGACAAAATTCAGTCCCTGAAACACCTACAACCTCAGCGTCACAGCCTGCCAAACAGCCAAACCCACAACTTGCTGTGCCCCATCAAAACAAGCCCAGTGATCCAGCCTCTCCCTGTTAAGGGTCTGTCTGCTGCATCTTACACTCAACCCACCATCAACCCTCATCTCTTCAACCGTCTCTCTGCCCCCGCTGGCCAGCGTCACCATGCCGGAGCTGGCAGGGCAGAAGGGGACGGACATAGTGCCAAGCTGGAGAGGGATGAGCTCAGCGAGACGGGTAACCAGGAGAATCTTCACAGGTTTGGACCGGATCGCGAGAAAGAGGACACCTCAGGGATCCACAAAGAGCCTGGACAGAGAACTGTTAAGTTTAAAGAAGACCCTCTCCTTAGAAGTGAGGCAGTAGAGGAGACAGCGGGCTTGCATGACATTGAAAAGGTTGTTATAGGAAGAAAGGCATCAAAGAAACATAAAAGTAAGTGAGGATGAGATCCCAGTGCTGGACTAGGTGAGGGAATGTGCCTGGGAACTGAAGACTAAAAAGGGAAAAGATTAAAAAACATTACTTTGTCAAACTGTACTTTTCTTTCTTGTATACTCATATATATAGTGTGGTTACTTCACTTTTGGTTACTACAGCTGTGTTACAGGAACAGATTTATTCTTGCATTTGGGTTGTAAATAACATATTCAAGAAGAGCATTTTGGACCTGCTTTTCTAACTTTTTAACAATGGAAAACACAGTAGAGCTGAAATGATTAGTTGATTAATTGATTTTGACAATTAATTGGCAACAATTTTGATAATCATAAGTAATCAATCAATAAGTAATTTTCTAAGCAAAAATGACAAACATTCACTGGCCTCAGCTTCTTAAAGGTGAATATTTGCTGATTTTCTTAGTCTTACCTTGGACCAATATTTTGCTTAACTTTTGGCTTTTTTGGCTAGTTTATTTATTATATTTATAGCCCAGAAGTGGTTGATCAAGACAATAATCAGCAGTTTAACTGAAATAAAAATTGAAAGCCCTAAGATGCCTGTCAGATGTCTGTAAATAAAATATTTGTTTTTATTTATGATCTCGATTATGTCTCTTGTCTCGGCATTCGTGAGACATTTTTCCCTCATACTTTTATAATTCATTTCTAAGACTATTTGTAATTGAAAAGACAGATTTTGTGAGTTACACTTGTGTGTTGAATTTAATATCATTTGGGTTTTGTTAAAGGCGTGTATTTAGGCCCTTGTTACAGTGCCAGACTTGCCTAAAATCTATGCACCAGACACTCACTGTCTGAACAATACATTGTTCTTAATTATGTATAAAGTAATTATTGTGACTGCTGACATGCTGTTGGTTTAAACAGGGTGCTGTTTACTAACATGTTGCAAATACATAATCTTTACTCTTTTCCTTTTCTTTGTCATAGACAAAATATAAAGGATGAAAATATGTTATGCACATGAGATTATGATGAAAAGGACAATGGTGGTACAAAATAATCTTGTAAGATAATAAAACATTTTTAAACAAAAAAACATTACATTTGATTTGTGCTTAAGAGCTAATTTTGCCATTGTTGATGAGATTTGTGAATACTGGTAGTTCACTGACTTTGTGACAGAGAGTGCTCACTGCAGCAAGCCAATATATTAGGCACACAGAGCGAGGTTCTTCTTATTCTTCACGTGTTGGTGTTAATTTGAGAGTTCAGCAAACATCTGATGTGAATAATTGTTACTTCATTTCCATTCATAAACACAGAAGTTAATTGGTATTCCAACAGGAAGTCACACAGGAGAAAACTGCTGCTCTGTGGGTGGCTAAGTTCACCTTACAAGCATGTCAGACTTCAATAACAGATGTCAAACAATATTTTTTTTTTGACAGATGATTGAAATCGACCTTTGTAATATCACTTTTTGGTGTGTGGCCTGTAGTGCGCCATCCTCCAAAGTTTCCCCCAACAGATTTTAGCATAGCAGCACTTTTCCGCCCTGTGATTCTCTGTTCATTTACTTGTGAAGCGCCATGGTGCATGCCAAGGCCGTGTGGTAGACAGTGATGGTTTGATAGCTAGCCTGTGAAAACTTCCCTCAGAACTGTAATGATATTTTATTATAAATTCACGCACAACACTGCCTGTGCAGATGTAGTTGTTTGTTAGGGGTCATGAGTGGCAGCTGATAAAACACTGCCGGCATCCCTGCTGATGCTTGCCCTGTTGCTGGATTTGAACAGTATTTCGCAACATCCTGTTAGGTTCACTGCAAATCAAACAATCATGCAGTTGAATGGATTCAGACCAAAATAATACCAGTTTAAATAAATTGCTACTCTGTGCCTTGAATACCGGGGCACAAAATGGCTGCCATGCATCAAGCAGGTGTAATTACAGGTGTTAGCTTGACATATGCTGTGCTCCGTTGGTTAAATTAAGTAATTTTCAGAGCAATCCATCGTTCATCTGTCATTCGGGGGTAACAACATTAGAGACTGAGACATGCAGTCATGTTGGAAGCCTTAGATGCGTCTGTTGGCCCCCTTTAATTTAATCCACCACTTTAACGTTCACACACGACAACAAAATGAGTGATGAATACCCTGCATAATGGCATCTTGATCCAATTGGGATTCCTGGAGCCATAGCTAAATGTGTCAGCCGAGCCATGTTTTAACACCAGCTTGGTGCATGAGGAGTTGCTGCAGCATCAGCACTTGTGCAAGATGTTCAATTTCAAAGGTGAATCTCTGAGCCTGTGTAATGTAATGATACACAAGAGGACACCTTGCAGGGTGTGACCAGTGGCCCACAACTCATAATCAAATACACAACTCTAATGCTTCTAAACATGTTAAATAGGGCTGTGACATGACAGTGGCTTTTTTCCCCAGTAAAACATTAGACCTCAAATGGCTGATATGATTTTAAAACATGAGAACGACTATATCATTGTTAATGCAAATGTGAGAAATTACCGGACGTATTTTCTCATCCTGTTGTTGTCAGACTGATAATCCTGTATCTGTGCTGCTGGGTGCAAGGTGACAGCTGTGAGGAGCTGCTGGGCAGTGAAGATTAAGTAACTTCTCATTAAAATGAAGCCAAATGGATGAAAAGGCAGAGAAGGAGATCCTTGTCCCTGTCTCCACAGATACGCGCCAACACACATAGACACATGTTTCAGTCACATAGACGGACATCACCCTGATTTACATGTAGGCTATTCACTGCAGATTTATCCTCACCCTTAACCACAACAGTCCTATCCCCATTTGAAGTCTTAATCCTAAAATGCATTGTTTTTATGCTTCTATACTCACAGACTCACCATCACAAAGACATGCCTGACCTCAATTCAAACCCCAAACTATACCCTATAACCTAAATCTAATACTTTAAAACCTAACACCTTAAAAATACACTTTTAACCTCAAACAACCCTTAGCCTATAAGAAGTAGGGACAGGCAAAAACGTCCACATGTTCCAAAAATGGCCTCACTTTTAATCCTAAAACTACTCTTGGTCCCCACAAAGACACAAGTATAAGACCAGGCACACACACACACACACACACACACACACACCACACACACACACACACACACCACACACACACACACACACACACACACACACACACACACACACACACACACACACACACACACAGTCTGGGGTTTGCTTGGCAGACGTTTGAATACCAGAGTGTCGCTGCTGGACTCGGCCGCTTGGAGTCGCCCGGCTCATACTTTGTGTCCACTGAGAAGTGGAGGCTGGGAAGCAAAGTGGGCTTGAGAAAGAAATCTCTTCCCTGAACTGTTTACCCTGACGTCAGTTTGCAGAACTAGCTCTGCCCTGTCTCCCCGAGTGTCTCTGAAACTCCACTCAGTGAGAATTGGGGGAGTAGATGGGCTCGTCTCTACTACTTGCGCGCCCGGACCTCACGGAGTGAATGAAATGATTTCTTCTGCACATTTAAAGTGGACTAAAACAGCTACACGATGAACACCTGCGCCTTTCTGTTGATTTTGACTGTTCAGATCTACGCCGATGGCATTGAGGGGCCAACAGGTAAGGCGCATATTCATCTCGATCTCCTCAACGCAGTTGGGAAGTTTTTAAATGTGGATCCAACTCCGCTGAAAGCACAAGCGTAGCGAGTCTGGCGAAGATGCCAACTTTGTGCCCCCTTTCCCTAACATGTTACTGCGTTTATCTGAGGCTTACCGCTGCTTCCAGTGACTTCCTAATGGGACAATGTTAATCCTCCCGAGGGAAAATAAAATTAATTATTTAATAACTTCGTAAACTATAGTAGCTATTAAGTTTTCTTAGTGCCAGACAAACTCCTGCAAACAATGTTGGTTATTTAAGAGGACCGGGTTCTGGGAAAGCTCCCATTTCCCAAAACAGCACAGTCCGCTGCGCTACGCTGCTTCTGCCTTTTTGTTATAGCGCAATCAGATTTAAAGGCGCCAGGTAGCCTAAAAGGTGTTAAACACTGTGATCCAAAGTTAGATATCAGTTCAACCCCTTAAAACGGAAGGAAAGGCACTCATACGACCTTCAGGCAATTTAAGCTAAACAATATTCGTGAGCATTCACGCTCCCAAGTCCCAACAGCCTGAACCAATCTGTGATGACATCCAGAGACCAAAACCTGGAGCTGCTCCACACTGCCGTTGGGTTGGAGAGTCGTATACAGAGTGACTCCTTAAAAGTTGACATCCCAGTGTGGTTCTAGGCATTGCATTGATTTTTAAACGAAAATCTGCATAATAACATAATTCCACTGTGGGGAAATAGACAGATTGACTCTCAAAGCTGCTGGATGTTTTTCTCCTGATGTGATGAGCTGCCTTTGGTCTAGCTGTAGAAGAAGACATATTTGTGGTCATAAATCAGCTCCACATCTTCCAGCATGAGGAAAATGACACATGTTCACATATTACTTGGTTGGCCAAGACTTCTTAAGAGTGCTCTTTTCTGTTTTGTGTGAAAACAAGCTGGATTCTAGCATGTTGAGAATGTGTTTTTATTTTCAGATAAAATGATCAAAAGCCTGCAATTTCTTAAATTGTTCCCCAGAAAATACTATTTTCCTATTTAATTTTCACAGTAGTGTTTCAGCGGGATAAATAAGCCTTTCCAAATTTGAATATCATCCATATATCAGAGAGATGGAAAGAGACAGACACATTGGGGACAAATAAACGTCTTTCATAGGAATCTGACACAGACCTTTTCATGTTTTCAAAATCTGCTTTTATTCACTGAATTCTATTAGTAATTTATGCAATGTTCTTACAGCGCAGTAGATTGGATAGTTTTTTTTGTCTAAAAGCTAAAGTGGATCTCCTTGTCATACACACACACATACATATTTTGACCCATGTAAAATAAAACCAGGTTAATAAGGCAGTAATATTGGTAACATTTACACTGCAGGCTGCTTCAACACTGTATAAGAATGCGGCACAGTGTTTGGCACATGTTGGAAAAAAAGCCTGATTGTATTGAGATCCCAAGGAGGTATTTTTCATTGACATTTGGCTCATATTTGTGTTTCTCACCAGCGGGGCTCCTGTTTCATGATAAATTGGGAAAACTCAGTGTAACACTTGTATGTATATGTAACTGATTGTGAAAGAGGCAACAACAACAACAACATAAAAAACAACAAAAAAAACAACGAGAAAACCATGCAAGCAGAATGTGTATCGTCAACAGCTGAATGGAGCAGATCATTAAGAGGAATGGGCTGAGACATATGAAGGATTAAATCACACACAGGTAATTAAAAGAGCTGAATGGAACGGTGATGCCTCACCACGGCTGCGTGAGAGTGTCTATCAGTGTACACGGTGTGGGTTTTTTAGTTTGTTAACTGGAGTGTTGCAAGCTTCGCCATCTGCTCTACCTTCTACCTTCCTCATTAGCCTCTAATAGTTAACACTGCTAGTTTTTGGGGCCTTGTCTGATCCCCTTGGCCTGGCGACCATCTCCACCTGCCTACATCCTTTAGGAGGAGAATTTAAGGAGCATATATGCAGCCTTGATACCCACAGTCTTCAGTGTCTCCTGTGATTAACACTCTGGCTTTATTTCTGTGGTTGTGTGAAGACCACACCATAACCTTGAATGCTTAATAACAATTAAGACGGCACTCCTTTGGGGATTTCTTGCCTTTTTCACCCGATCTAATCCATATTTTCCATAACTCTTATGCTGCGGTGGGTCCAGGCTGTCAGTTCAAGGGAAGTGAAATTATTAGAGACTATGAAATATGGAGGCTCTCTGCTGCATGGGACTGACTGCAGTGAGGTTGATAAGAGGAAAACACATTTGCATCATATTTGCTCAGACACAAAGAGGTTATGAACATGATAGGCCTGTTTCCGGGTATGTCTATGTGTTTTTCATTGTGCGAAGCCCAATATCACACTTTAACTCCTCTGTTGTCTCTTGTGAGAATTGAATGTATGTTCACTTACCATCTGTCTCCTCTATTAGCAGCAAATGTTG